TGGCGGTTCGTTAATGTCACTGTTTTCAATGCCGAATACTTTTATCCCTATTTCGGGATCAACGTCGGCTTCTTTGAATTCATCGGATTCTCCTTCTTCAGTCGATAAAGGAATATCGATACATATTAGACAAATTACGTTTGTGCCGGTTTGTGCTGTATAAAGTTTGCCGAGAAAATATACCCTTTGGAAGTTATTTCGATTTTTAGATGTGACTGTAGATATTTGCTATAACTTCGCACAATTTTGTCGGCGCAAATTTCCAGACTAGGTGGATTGGTTAGTGCTACGTTTGTGCCGGTTTGTGGGGTAAAAAGTTTGCCAGCAAAGCATTATCTTTGAAGGTTATCTCAATTTTTAGATGTTCTGGAAACCTCGTACACTTTTGTCGCTATACTGTTGAAACTAAGTAGGTATAATGTTAATGTCTCGCATGGGTTAATGTTATCTTTGTGCCGGAATCTATAGTAAAAAGTTTGACCAAAAAAGGGACTGTGTGAAAACTCCTAGCACGTTTTTAATATTGTAGCTTTCACACAAGTGTAGTGTGCTTTTGATGGCACTTTCATTGTCTAATTTGTTGGTAATTGTATGCCATACATTTGCAGATGGTTTGTTTATATAAGATCATCCTTGTGTTGGAGAAGAACGTGTGTGCCAGCTTCGTTTTTTCAATGACAACCTTTCGCGGTGTGTTGTACCTAATGCAAAATAATTGAAGTTACAGATTGGGTCTCCAAATGGTAAAGAACTCAGGGGATAACTGTTATATAAATTCAAATCTTCTAAATCCGATTGCAATACATGAAATAGATAAGAATCCCTAATTTCTGCCGTTGTATATACAAAATAAGTGTACGGAGTCAGGAAAAAACATATCGGACCTAATCTCATGTGTTTAGTGGAACACCTTGTATATTTTAATCTACAAGTAGCATAATATTTTATTTTATTTTTATTTTATTTTTGCTGTTATTTTTGAGTGGGCGGGGTTTCTTCCAAGGTTGCTCTACCAACCCAACCCACTATACGTCTACAAATATCTATGCCCGAACGCCGATTCGAACCAGGGATCCATAGTAACGCACTCCAGCCTAAACTGATTTGCGTCACACCGCCTGGTAAAAATATAACACACCATGAATGATATTGGTTTTCTATGCGATTTTTTTAAACTATCACTTTAAGTTACAGTAGGCTATGAAAAACAATCTTTTATTTTGTTCTCAAGTTTCTATAATTTTTTATTTACTTTCTTGTGTCAGACTCTTTGTTTTTTCAGTCATTGCCGTGTGGATACGGCACCTATTAATTTCCAAACTGGTAGGCCGTATTCTTCTCCGCATGCGCACAAGTAACATTCCACTTATGGACCGATCTTACTGAGATTTTAACATTAGCATCCTTTACTAAAGGCAAATAGATCGATTATCTCAAACATATCAAAATCTTCTTTCGCGCACATGCAAAAGTAAATTTCTTATTTGTTGACAATTTGTGAAATTTTAACGGTAAATCAAATTGAACATCCATGTAGTAAATTGCCACATCGATTAGATACTTCGTTCAATAAAAGGCGAAGCGATGCATGAGAAGTAAATACAATAAAAGGAAAGTGCAGGGTCTCAACAGATGCTACCGTGCGGAAAAGTTAAGTTTTGAAAAACACATTTTTTTATATTGATATGAAAATTGATTAAAGAACAACTTCAAATGCTCATTTAAAAGCTTGACACTGGAATCCAAACCGGTAGATTACAGCATTGAACATCAAAATAGCCGTACTTAAGACGACTATACACCGAAGGTAATGGGATTTTGCAAATAACGGGCAAATGCGTTGAAAGAATTATCTGAAATTTTTTTAATGTTATTTCTAATTCATCGTCTATCATGGAAACTGTTTATGCTGACCATTCCATGCTATAGTAATTTATTTTAGAGATTTTAGTCCATAATACAATAACTTCAAGGCAGTATTTTATTATTATTAATGGAAAAAAGAAATTTTCCTTTCAAGCGACTGTGAAGTGGCGCCGCCTAACGAAGGTAACCAAAAGTAAGTGCTAAGTGCTCGTCATCAGGAATATAGAAAGAGAAACAGTGGCGCATGGTGTTCTTGCGTAGGAGCGTGATGGTGTGGTTAGAGCTGCATATCAATTAGTCACGTGCAAGATCACGTGCTATAGGTATGACGCTCTTAACGTAAAATTAACATAAATAATCACATATCAAACAAATAAAGTCCATAATGCTGGCTTAAAGGGCTTGAATATAACAATATAACTGATTGATTTCACTAATAAAATTTAAAAATTGACATGTCTATCACCATAGAAGATGGCGAGGACTAAAATAAAATTTTAAAATTAATCGATCATAGCCTAATTGATTAATCAATTAGATTAATTAATTAAATGATTAATGAATTATTTGGATAAAATATACGCCACGGGTTATTAAAAATTTCTGCTTTTCTGGGCAAGGTACATTTTAGGAAATTTTCGTGTCTTTAATTTTTCTCACCACATATTTTCTCGTAAAATGCGCAGTTTTGGAAATATCGGAGGAAAACCGCTTTTGACGGCCATCTTGGCAAAATGGCAGCCCCGGCGGCAAGTTTCGAATTTTCTGAATTTTAGTTTTACGCACTCAAGCATACAAAATTTCAGTACTTCCCGAGTTATTTCCAGGTAAAAATCCTCAATGACTGGCCTATTAGCAGAACCTCTAAAAATAATTTCCAAACGGTATGTTTTGCTGGCAAACTTTTTACGGTACAAACCGGCACAAACGAAGCACTAACCAACCCACCTAGTCTCGAGATTTGTGCCGACAAAAGTGTGCGAAGTTAGCAGAACATCTAAAAATCGGAATAATTTCCAAACGGTATGTTCTGCTGGAAAACTTTTTACGGCACAAACCACGGACAGACGGATATCATCAATTTATTCTCCTATAAGGTTTGCATCGCATTGCTCCGCCGCTTAATAATGCAGTCGACATTTTCAATTGTACATTTTTTTTTTTTTTGTCAGGTGGGGAAATGCATTATGCACACTCCGGATGGAAAAGTCCGGAGTAGTGTGGGGCTCTCACCCACTAAAACCCCACCTGAGGCTTCGGCTTCTAGGGCCATTCGCCTTTATACATACTTTTACACAGAAAAAGATGACTATATAAGTACAATGGGACAGAAACGGATCTAGTTACATTTATTAACCAACAATTTAAAAATATCACAGATCATTTGCTATACCAATTCTTTGGATGAAGGCAAGAGTATTTTTACATTGCTCTTTGTTTTTAAAGTTATTTTCCCATGCAGGGTCGATATTAAAGAGCACACGTACATCTGTGTACTGCGGACAGACAGAAATAATATGATGTGGTGTTAAAATAACACCACATTGTTCGCATAGTGGCCGTTCTTCGCCCGCCAACAAATATCCATGAGTGAGGGCAGTATGCCCCAGCCGGAGTCTGTACAGCCTGATCAAGTTCAAACGCCCAACGTCGATATAAAATAGCGGATCCAGACTCTGTTTGATCCTCTTCAAAGCCGTATCAGTCTCCGACCACTGTTCACTCCACCGCTCATAAATTTTCGTCTTCACAAGTTCACGTCGTGCAATAGATGACATATTCGTGACGTCAACGTTATCCAGTTGGAGGTAGTTTAGTACCTCTCTAGCTCTAACACCTACCGATCTACATCTATTTAGCCGAGCAATTGTAGTTGCATCAGTAAGTGATATAAAATTTGGATGTTTATCATCTATCCTTACTTTTATATAATAGTTTGCAACAATCTGTTTCCGGCGTAGAGCTAGAGGGGGAATATTTGCCTCGACGTGGAGCGATGTTACCGGACTTGTTGGATATGCTCCCAAAGAGTAGCGAATGGCCAGGTTCTGAATCTTGTCAAGTTTCTCAAGCAAAGTATTACTGCCACATGTAGAGTACGCTGCACATCCATAATCCATCCTTGACAGGATGAGGGCCTTATAAATATCTAGGAGGGTCTTAGGGTGAGCTCCCCACCTATGATGAGCTAGAACTCGCATAATGTTCAGCGATTTTCTACATGTAGCCGCAACATTCTCCAAATGCTTTGACCATCGTAATTCCCTATCAAAGGTAAGTCCGAGGAACTTGACTTCTTGGACAACACTGATTATACGATTGTTCATAAACAAAACGGGGTCATAGTGGGGCTTACGGAGTCGACAAAAGTGAACAACCTTTGTCTTCTCCTCCGACAGCACGTACCCGACAGCATTGGCGTTATGACAAATGATGTTAATTGCCGTTTGTAGGTTTCGAGTTATTGTGCCAACCGTCTTACCAGAACAACAAACCATTAAATCGTCTACGTATAAGCATTTATCAATTGACTCCTCAACACCTTTGGCTATTTCATTTATGGCGATGCCGAACAGGGAACAACTGAGTGTTGACCCCTGCGGCACACCATTTTCTAAAACATACTCTTTGGAGTTGATATCGCCGATTCTTACACAGAACTTCCTATCCTCTAAAAAGGATTTTATAAATTTAGGTAAATTCCCTCGAAGATTGTTTTTATACATATTTTGCAATATTCCATATCTCCAAGTCATGTCATAAGCACCTTTTATATCGAAGAAGACCGCAACCAGATGTTCACCACTGTCAAATGCTCAGAATTCTGTCTGTCAGTTTGACCAGATGGTCTACCGTTGACCGTCCTTTCCGAAAACCAGTTTGGTAAGGCACGTATACGTTATTGCTTTCGAGAAATGTTTGTAGCCGCACATTAACCATTTTTTCTAGCAGTTTTCCCAAGCAAGATGTCAAACTAATTGGGCGATAACTTTGTGCCTGCAACGGATCTTTTCCTGGTTTCGGTATAGGAATTACGATGGCTTGCTTCCATTCTGAGGGGTAGGTAGAATCATTCCAGCAGTTGTTGAAGAATCTTAAGATGGTATTTTTCATTTCAGAACTACAGTGGCGAAGCGAAGCATCTGGTTATGGATAGCGTCTTCTCCCGGTGAACATGACTTGGTGTTACGGATTGCTGCCTCCAATTCTTCTACAGTAAAAGGTACGTTACAGTTCTGTATATCATCTGTGTTAAAGTCAATTAATACTGCTTATTTTTCAGGTTTGGTATCTAGAAAGGTGTTGGAATAGTTTGACGAGCTACTGACTTTATAGAACTGATCTGCAATTATGTTAGTTATGTCTTGCAGTTTATTGGTAATTATTCCATCGGAATTGCGCAAAAACACCGGATGACTGCAGCTGTTTTTTCCAGATATAGCTCCGACTTTCTTCCAGACATCATTACTGGTAGTCTCTGGTATTGCAGTATTTGTTGGAATTAGTTAAGTTTTTACATTCAGTCAGGCAATCAGTTAATGTTAATGTTAAGTTTAACCATACGACAACAATTGTTATATTTTTTTTTCTTAATAATCGTTGACGCACACGTATTTAATTGTGTTGTGCATTTGTTGTAATTTGGGCTGTGCCTGTTTGAACAATAAACTTTACCTTAAAATTGTATTCAACAACAATGATTGTATAAATAAATGAATCAAGCAAGATTAGAGTTAGAAAATCGCCATTTCCTTTTGCGTGTTGCTTAAATCGGCGTCAAATTACATTTAAGTTGATTGATTTAAACTTCACGGCGATTCAATATGAGAAATGCGTGGGAATGACACATTTTATGAGACGGCCGGTTTATTAATTAGCCTCAGCACCCGTAAGGTTGTGAAATGAATGAAGTAATTTGTTAGTTGAATGCCCCTAACTGCATGTAAATTAAAAATGCATCTTGGCTGTGAATACACGTACAAAATATTAATTAAATAAATTAATTTCCGGCGTAATTTATTGCGTTTGTTCTTTTAATGAAAAATAATTTAAAAGAACGAGCAATGTTACGTTTGAAATGGGACATTTGTCATTACGTAACATTCAAACTAACGTAGGGTATAAGCAAACCATATGGAAGTAAGAAAACCTATGGAACCCTCGCGAGTGTGAAGAATTGTTCACATCTTACTTCAAATTTACGACCGACGCTTCAAGACAAATGGAAAGATTGTGTTCAAAATTTTTAACGGCACATTCTCTATAGGAACGCTATAGAGAATTTTAGAGGAACTTAAAATTTTTGTTGATATTAATACTTTATGTATCTTCCTTTCTAATGTTGTATTCGAAATTGTATTGAAATATCGCTGACGTGAAAGAGACATTTGGAGATTTAGAAATTATTACGTTATTCGACAACGATCCGTCTTGTGATCGTTACATAAATCGTTTCGCGATGGCGGTAGATAAACACGGTTCCTTCTATGATGTAAAGTGATGTAGTGAGCTGAAAGGTTAATGCTCATATATACAGGAGGATAAACTACATGAGCCATTTTCAGAATCCTTCAAATCTCGATTCTCGAATTGTTTCGATATCTTTCCAATTCCAGTATAAATATACCATAACGGTGACCGACACGTTATAGTTTTATTACTCCTCAATCTTTCGTGTTTATACAATAATAACTCCTGAGACATAAAATGGTCGCAGCGCACTCTTAAATCCGATAAGCCTTGGCCCCTTGCTACCCCTGTTGCTGTAATGAACATTTAACTTTCAACAGTCATAAATCCATCTCAGCATCCAAGTATTATCTGAATTAACACATCGCGTTAACAGAAATGTTAAACTTTATGTGGAAGTTAACATTTTTCGTTGTAGATTGTAACCTCTATAATTCATTTCGGGATAAGATTACTATTCCTATTCTGATGTTTCTTGCAGCAAACTCTAGGAAGACAATAAGAAAAAACAAAAAGAACGGACGGCTCGTGAGTTATGGTGTGTAAGATAAACGGGTCCGCTCCAGCCCGAAATGAAGTCTGGCGGGAAATTTATACGAGCCCCGCTGCAATATCTCTAGAAGAACAGAATTGGACTAGCTCTGAGGAAAATAGGCTACTGCGGGAGACGCATTTTAGATTAGCTTTTTATTGGGGCGTGTACGAAGACACTGAAGTTTGAAAACTTTATTGCGCGAAGCATCTTAGAAACATTGCATCCATTTGAAAGCAAGGTAAAAAAATAATGTTCTTCGCGTTATTTCTAAAGTTGAGATCGTAAATAGGAAGCAGTCGAAGAATGAGATATAAACAGAGATTAAGATTATAATTGTGTCAGTGGCTGCTTTTTATGTTTATTTAAAGTATTATAGATGAATATAACCAGCACCACTGAATTCATTTCCGATTACGTAAATTTTATGCCGGAACAGGAAAGCTATATAAAGCTTGAAATGTCTCAATTAAAAATTAGTTACGATACCATATTCTCGATTCAGCTGTCCTTTGACAATTTATTGATATCCTGTAAATTGCCGAAATAACTTTTAGATGCTTAATTAGTGCATGCTTAATACTTAAATCAATAAAAATGCTTCCAATGACAAAACTCGAAAAACAGCTTATTATTTCCGACAGTTTTTTGGCACAACAAAGATCACTAGAGTGGAATGTTTACCACAAAATTCTATAAGATTAAATTATGAGAGATTGTCGTAGTGCATTTCACTAGTGACACTAGCCAGTTTGCGCAACGGCCATTAATTGTTACGTGCCATACGAGGTCACACGTACCAGATAAATTGCGAGAAGTACTCGGAACGTTTACTCAACGTGTAGAATGAATGTTGAAGTAAAGAAAAGGATAATGTTGGTTAATATTGAGATAAGTATGGATGCTAGCATTGAGTAATTATCACTCAACGATGCTAGTAAGGCTTTCGGGCAAGCTCCTCTTAAGCCACTACTTTTTATTGATTAACCTATTCACTCGTTTCTGGTACCATATATTTACCAATTTACTTAAAGTAGGTGCAAATGTATAGAAATAGAAAATAGAAATCTAAGGAAAAGTTTAAAAATAAAATTGCTATAACTATAAATGGTGATTCCTTACCAAATCTATACAAAGTTTAATAGAAGTTAAACAAGTAAAAGTAATGAAGAAACGAAAGATGGTTTCGGTTTTTGGACAGGAGTTTTACCTTATCGTATATCTTTTTTATCTGCACTGTGCTAAAAAACTGCGAAAGTGTTGCGAAAAAAACACACGTAATTGCGGAGAAGAGCACCTCATGAAACGGGGGTGAAAAAACAACGTGATAAAAAAAGATGTGAGGAGAGGTTGTAGAAGGAATCATATGGATGACAAGGAGGCGTGGAGTCGTGAAGGAGGATATGAAATGACCATGAGACATAATTATGCGATAGAAGAGCATCTGAAAGACGTGTGGAGGTGTGAAGGAGATGCGAAATAAGCTCAGATGAAGAATTAGGCAAGCCAGGCCTCAGGTAGCATGGAGAAGACATGAATGATTACAAGACGTGAAGGAGAGGAAAGTAAAGAATAGACGCGCGAGGTAGCCGAAGGAACATGAAAGTATATAGAGGGCGGAACGTGGGAAGACCGGAAAAGTGGTGTTAAAGGTGTCCACGTGAAATGGAAGAAATGGCAATGAAGGAAACATAAAAATTATGTGGTTAAATGTAAAGAAACTAGGTACCTATTGACCACGGAAACAAAGGAAATAAGCGAGAAGCCGAGCAGAATGAAAAAATTGTATAGGAGACATGAAAGGGTAACGATCTATTGAAGAAGTTGGGAAGGTAAAAAGAATGTTCCACAAAAGCTGAATACGGAAAAACTTAAGCTCCACCTTAACTTAAGGTCCACCAGCCAACCACTTTAATATCTTGGGATAACGTAGTATTCTATGCTATAAGGATAAACAGTGCATCATCCTTTGATGCGACCAAGTAGTACATTTAGGAGCGTAGCCGAACGAATAAGACAATTTCGGTACAAAAATGACATTTTTAATCCAAATTATGTCTCTCTAGGGGACTAAAAGAACCATTTCTTTTCAAATAAACAAGAGGATCCAAAACGTTTGTATCTGCAGCTACGTCTCCCAAAATCCCACGACCCACCCCGAGATGCCTCTGAAGAGTGCGGAAAATACTCTGATCTGAACAAAAATTAGTGCTAGGTATCTCTCAACATGAAAATAACGAAACCAAACTTAGTTTCTGAACACTTGCAAAAATGTTATAATTTCTTGGTCCGAAAATGAAAAAAATCGTAAGATAAAGAATATAAGGTATATTATTAAAAAAATTATATTATTTTATAGCATATGTTAAATTGACAGTTTAATAGGTTTGAATGAATTAGCCAGTTGCTCTTTAATCGCGAGGGTAAATAAAGTGATCACTTTAATCGCAAGGGTAGTTAACAGATGAATATGCATTCTAATGACATCTGTCATTCTTATTTCAAATGGGTCGCGGAGCACGATATAAAATGACATTCAGAGCATATGACAATGCTGTTTCTATGGGAATGACCGCGACGGTAAAACTTAAGCTTGCTATTTTTGACGTCTAAATTAAATTTAGAATTGTCAGAAGCTTTACAATTGTTTATATGGCTTTTGCTATAAATTAAATTTTTGTATTATACACGACGATAAAAGGAAATTAACCATTCCGTGAAAGTTAATTCACTCAATGGTTAAAATATCCCTTTATCGTCTAGTATAGTAAACTATAAACTATTTTTATAAGAAAACGTCACATTTCCATAGCAATCAACAGCCCACTATATATTATTATTATTATTAAACTCGTTGCGCGTGCTTTAATGACTCGATTATACACTTATCTCTTAGTATACTATTTTCCACTCCTCACGATTTTCAACTTTTGTCGTTTGTTGCGTGTATAAATTCTATGCGCTTGTTGTACCTTCAGCCGAAACCCAAACATGCTTCCTAGTAATGATGATAGAAAAAAAAATGGTTCTGCTGGCATTCATGGCATTAATTAATGGTTGTTTATGATGTGCATGCGCAGACCCAACGTTAATATTTATGGACAGAATTTTCTAAAATTTTAAGAGATGCTTCGTATAAAGGCAAACTTTAATCGCATGTCAAAAAATGTGATTGAAAATTAGAAAAATCTTTATTTAATTTATTTAATCGACCTATTTTAATTTATTCAGGTAGAAAACAAAAACAAACGAAAATATCATTTATTTGTTGCTATGGGAAAGAAACAATTTAAGTTGCTGTCAATTAATTTAATTTAACCTGAATGTTTGGATGAACTTCGTCAACGCATCATCGAAAGCTGCCCTGATATTCCACATGTTTTTGAAAATGTCCGTTACAAATTTGAACATTGCCTATATCATTGTTTGGCCAATTAGGCAATATTTTGAACACTTACTGAAATAAAAAGGGATTTTCGTTTGTTTCTGTTTTCTATCTGAGCAAATTAAGATGATCAAAGATGTTTCCAATTTACTCGAAGACGAATCGACCGATTTTAAAAAATTAAACGTCAAAATAACAGACTTCCAAAGACCTTTCAAACAAGCTATTACTCGATAGGTACCACTTGTCATTTAAAACTTTTCTGAGGGGTGTCCCACTTGATAAATCTTTTGACGTGTCTCGGCGTTTTTCCTTTAATCAGGGGTTTTCGATAAATCCGTGGTGGGAAGTTTTCAAATGAACACCCTGTATAATGGGCAATGCCAAAACTTGGGTCACACCTTTTATATTACTTCTACTTCTACAGTTCTACTTCTATGTTATAAGCGTTGAGTTGTTTAAACGAGACGGTTATGCTTTTTCCCAATCGCCTGCTTTTTTCACGATGAAATTTTGCAGATGGATTCTTTATCAAATTTTTAGAATTGGCCATATCATCACAAAAATGAGCACTTCCCTTTTGACATTTCGGTTAATTATGCACTGAATTGCAAGAATTTCAAAATAACAGTACATAAAATGCATGCGCAAAAAATCGCGTTGCTCATGCACAAACCGCAACTTTCTTATTTATGGAGCAATTTGAACGAAATTTTGATGATAGGTCCCTCTAATAAAGCAAATAAAATGCGTGAGCGTTACCCATTCAAATACTAACCGGGAGCAACGTTGCTTGACTTTAAACAATAAATGAATCAATTATTAGTAATAATAATAATAAGCATTAAACACAAAAGTTGACTTTGAGCTAGGAAGCTGTTCTTCTGTCAAGAATTTGGCACCTGGTTTTAGAGAATATTCTGTCCCGCGCCTATATGTCCTCTCGCCCTTATGTTCTCGCGTCCTTATGTCCCGCGCCCATTCGTCCCGCGCAATAGCCATGACTTTTGTTGTTTTACAAATTGTTACTAATAACAGAAATGATAAATTTGCGGGTAGACCAAAAGCTTAATATAACACCCGAACGTTAGTAAGGGAGGTGTTGCATTGCAAAAATGACCCCTCACTTTTTTACAGAAATTCAGGTTTTGCAACACCAGTAATCCGAATCAAACAAAATCTCGTCGATGATGCCGGTCTGTCTGTCGGTCCGTCTGTACTCCCATTTTCGGCTAAACGGCTGAACCGATTGAGCCGAAAGCGCATTTGCAGCCCGCAGGTGGGCGGATGGTATCTGTGCTAGCCACAGTAATTTTTTTTACTTATGGACGAATTTTTTGCAATTTTAAGAGAAGGTACTTCTTGAAAGACATAAGGAAATTATTACGCATGACGCAATTCTTATGAAATTTTATAGAAAGATGCTTCCTATAAAAGCAAATTGAAAAAAGCGTATCAAAATAGATCGCGCATGCGCAGACATAGGTACTTGTTTGTGAACCACTTTTTCTGAAATTTTAACTGAATCTGTTTCAGGTGCATTTTCACTAAAACTGCTAAAATTATAGGCAATAAATACGCAAACCATAGATCTCATAGATGAATGAAACAGCATTCCCTACTATTTTATTTTATTTATTTTTTATTTTTTTATTTTTTATTTTTTTTTATTTATTTATATTTTTTTTTGGTTTGATTTACCACAACTCCTTTGTGAGTACTTCATTCTGATACCCCGTTCTGAATATATAAGCTGTTCAAGTGGTGACCCCGCCGTCATTTCAGAGTAAAATAGTTTGTTTTGCGTAATTATTGCCTATATTAAATAATGTTTTTAAATTATGTTCTTAAAAACCTCCTAAAATTTAGTTTTTGCCATAGAAATAGAGCATACATACGATATTAAGAAATTTACTTATATGTAGATTAATTGGTTAGGGCTTTATTGGTCGTAGTAATAGTAAGAAGTTTATATTAAGAACTCGAACTTTTGACCGTCGCACTGTAATGCAAAATTCTGAAAAAAGTCTAAATTGTTTTAAAAGATTGAGGTAATTGTGCGTTTTAATGCCAGTACCGTGCATGTACCCTAAATCGAATGTTTTACAAATAAAACGATATTTTGCACACTATTAATAATTTGAATTTTTTTAAACTATATTCAAATCGTGTTATTATATACGTACGAGGGTATGGCTATAGCATGTGTAAAACCATATTTTAAACCTGATGTTAATTTTGCTTTTATTTAAAGTGTATATGTAAGTATGAAATTTTATTTAATTGCTTCCATAAATAAGAAAGTTGGCACTGCACATCCTACACAAAACCAAATTTGGAAAATGGCGCTACATTTGCTTTTATTCCAAGTGGTTATGTATCAAATTTCATTTGAATGCCTCCAAAAAATAAGAAAGTTGACACTCTGCATGCGCAAAACGAAATTTTGAAACTTGCTTTAAATATGGTTTTATTCCATAAAATAAAATAAACAAGAAAGTTTTCGGTCTGTAAATGGTCGAGATGCGCAAAGGGCACTGTGAATGCTGATCGATTAGGCTCAACTTTTGGAATTGTGTTTTATATGGCTAAAGCTATGCGCATATTGAATTTCATGCAATTCGGTTCATAACGAACGGATATGCCAAAAGGGCCTAATTTATTTTTTGGTCTACATTGCCAATTCACGAACTTCGATCTACAAATTTTATAAGGAATCCACCTGCAAAATTTCATCGCAATCGGTCCATTCGTTTATGAGTTATGGTGCTAACGGGCGGACGGACGGACGGACAGACACCGCAAAATTATAAACTCGTTAGGAGCTCGTTAATAAGTGAGGTACTTCTCGTATTATTCTTTTTCGTTAGGATCTTACAAGCTGTAGTTAGAAAACCCTTGAATAATTCCTATTGAAATGGTGTTGGGTAAACCACACAGCCTACTTTACGTTCTAAGACGGAAAGTAGGTATATATTTTAACACCGTCATTACTATCAACAAGAAAATATTTGCACTTTCTCGCATTATTTGTATGTATTTCTTTAAAAGAATTCGGGAACTAGCAAACACTGAAACTAATTACTTTAGTTGTATAGTACACACAAGATAGTATGATGTGATTAGAGAATGACCTCGTAAATCTTAAAGGTCCTGGGCGGGTTCAGAACAAGTGCTACCCAGATAACCTTCATGCTCTATAGTTACTCATTCTTATGCAGACATTTTCGGATATGTCACAAATTCGGGTTCATGTTTTATTAAGATTTATTGCTTCATTTGTATTGCAGTGACTCAGCAAAATACGTGATCATGATAGTCAAGCAGTAGGTAGCTGTCTAAATTATGGTGATTGATGTCAAACAAAATATTGGCGTCTAAAAAAATTAAGGTATCATGTCGAATTGTCGCACGTCTTCTGATCGATGAAAACAAACTGTTCAAACAGTGAGTTAATGTCAATAATAACAAATTAGGCAAAAAGTGAAACTTAGAAATGCTATATTAAAAGCAGTGAATGGAGTTTGCAGTAGGTATTAGCATGGACATGAACTATAGGCCTCTTCTGCGCCAGGAAGTCATTACAGTCCTTGTTCGTGCATGACAAAGTGCCATTCATCATAAAATGTCACTGTTGTCATCTATACACATTTGAGGATTAATATTTCAAGTAAAATGGGTTACATATAAATCTTCGACCATACAATCCTGGACAGCTGTTCTGTGGAAGATTTCATCTAAGGAACGACAAGACACATTGTACAGGATCTTTCTGCTTTGGTCACTTTTGGGCAGTTTCGTTGAAGCACAGCAAAATACTTAGAAGGACAACAATACGTTAATC